AGTTAGTTAGTTAGTTAGTTAGTTAGTTAGTTAGTTAGTTAGTTAGTTAGTTAGTTAGTTAGTTAGTTAGTTAGTTAGTTAGTCATAATTTAATTGATGTATTTTTGTATTTTGTATTTTTTGTGGTATTTATTCATTTTATTTATTGATTTATTTATCTTTATTTTTTATTCTTTAATTGTTCTTAATTATCATTAATACTGCCCTTAATCGTGTTATCGATAAAAATGGACGGTAACATAAATTATGACACTATAAGGGGGGGGGGGCAATTACAGTGAATTATAGGCGATATCCAGGTTGAGAACCATAGATACGGGGTACATGGGAACGAAATCAATAAATTGGGGGGGAAAAAGAATAATATTAATCCGCAGACAGGACAAAGAGGCTAAAACAGCACCTGGACATGGATGGCTGGTGCCTCTATAAATAAATCATTGATGATCAAGGTCAAGACCTTTTATGCGTCATGTAAAAACACATTATTATGTGGATTTTCTGATAAACATTGATTAAAGGCACAAAAAGTATGCATTTTTAGTTTCCAGGGACTCTCAGGCTGTGGAAGCTACCAAACTTTAGTGGCCCTTTTCTCTCTAATTTTACCTCTGAAACCAGGCGAGCCTGGCCTTCTTCAATCGAAAATATTTCGACTTCTATACAACATAGAAGGATATTTTTTCTCACCAAAAGGAAGGCAAATGAACAGGAGGCACCAGCCATCCGTGTCTAAGTCTAAGTGCTGTTTTTTACTCTTTCTCTTGTGTGTGCTTTTAGTTTTATTTTTTCCCAATTTGGTTCTACTCTTATGCACCATGATTTTTTATCCGGAAATTCGCCTATAATTTCCATTGTCCAGGAGAAAACTGTTTGTCGGACAAGTGGACGTTTTGAACAAGAGTCATTATTAATATCAATGTAAAATCGCAAGGCGGGAAGTGGGAAGTGATTGTTTGAGCAAGTGGTTGTCTTGGAAGGTAGCAGTTAGAACAGCTTCGACTGCTCAGTATTCGCTGCGTATCTATAAGTGTTCCGAGAAAGGTTGCCGCTTATCTTTCGTGGCTACACCAGTGTGGTAACTGTTCCCAATGTCGGCGTGGGTAGGGTAGCTATGTATGAGGTAAAAAATGTCTGGTCCTGGATTTGTGATAACATAATAATTGTGAGGCATCGTGGCGAAATCAGGCTCTCGTGAAAATGATGGAATAGAAGAAACAGGTATTTTTCTGGCCATGTGGCCAATTTAAAAAAAAAAAAATTTTGCTAGACCCCTTATAAGCCCATTGAAAAAAGCATATTCTGTTTGGATTTTACGGAAAAAGTGGGGATCGAAGGCACAAAATATGTAATTTTTTAGTTTTCAAAGACTCTCTCAAGT